TTTGGTAGCAGGCATCCTTTAGACTCTCCAAGTATCTCCTTTGACACAAATATATTTTATTCTATATTAGTAAAAAATAAAAATAAAATCAGATTTTGAAAATTGACGAGAAGACAAATTACAATATGTTTTTATAAATAATTTATTAATACATTAATAAATAAAACATAATTAACGTAGAACGTCTAAACAGGCCCGTCTCGGACAAGTAAAGTACCTTATTCAAAAAATAGGAGCCCCTGACATATAGGGTATGTTTGGCACAACTTGCTGAAAAGATGCTTTTATTAGTTTTTTTAATAACTTTTAGCTTTTAGTGACTGAAAAGATCTTAGAAAGAAAAGGTTGTAGTTGTTCAATAAAAAGATGACTGTTTAATTTAGTTCTGTTTGGTATAACAAATTGTTGTGACTAATTAAAGCTAAAAGCTACTTACTTTCTCCCAGATGCTACCTATTGTTGCATCTAAAAAATTATTTTTTAATTTGTAAAGAGCTCTTAAAAATTATCCAACTCTTCTCTTTCGGCAAACTGAATAATAACAATTGAGTTGACTCCATAACGGAACAGACTTAATAACAAAATAATACACCTAGTCAAGCATAGTAAATTAGCATGCCTACTAAAATGATTGGTTTCATCCATCAAAACGTATCATCCGTGGACAAAATGGAATTTATTAAGCATTTTGATTTGGAACCTTCCACAATCTTATTAACTTCAAGTGCTAGAGCAGAGTAATTTGTATAAAGTAATTTGAATGGACACCGATTTTATGTTTAAAACTAAATGTAAGTCTGTCACTTTTCACGTGTCCTGGCCGAGAGTTTTGGAAGGTCAAGAGATTTTCACTTATGCATGTGTGTAATAAGTTCTTATAAATGAGATTAGCACTTACCAGATCAATTAATATGCTATTCCAAATTTAAGCAATCCATATAACTTCTATATACAAACGTATTAGAGTTGGCAATTAGATTTATTATGATGCCATATGTCAATTTTTACTCTAAAGTGTGTTGCCACATGTCAAAAAATTCTTTATAGGTTTCTTCCAAGGTTTGCTTTATTATATTATATAGATATAGATACGGAGTACTTTTATACACTTGAGTAATAAATCTTAAGTAGTATGGATTTCTTTTGTCACACGCATATATTATTTTATCATTATGCCTACGTAAAGATCTAATAAAAAAATATTAATTTTCTTAAAAAATATTGATTAATTCTGAAAATAATGACTACAAATACTGTTGGTTTCAATTTGAATACCCATTTGAACCCTGGTATAGGTAATAGTTTTTAAAAGTTTAGTTTGATTTTTCTCATAAAAATCATCTAGCAAAAAAAAATCATCTAGCAAGGGTTAACATAGATTATTTCCACTTTTGGTAGTTAATACAAAATACTTTTACAAGCACAACACTTTTACTCTTTCCTTCTCCAGTACACCACCTACCATACTTTGGATTAGGCATCTTCATTTCTTCAGTACAGAGGGCTGAGTTCTGGGTGTCAACTTCAGAATTTTACAAAATAGGATTCATTGAACAAAGTAATTTTGTTGCTACTATTGTTAACACCCGGATTGTGGTTTAAATTTTTATGATTAGAGTGTTAGTTGTTGTTGTTATTGTTTGTACCCGGTTTGAATGGTGTTGATAATAATGTCCAAAGAGCGAAAATCAATTCCTAAGAATGCCATCTTAATGTGAAAGAAGTGAATTCAGTTTCAATTTTCAAACTTTTCCATAGCATCAGGAAATACGGGTCCAAATTTCGTTAGAAATACACTTGAGAAATAAATCTTAAGTAGTATGGATTTATTTTGTCACGGGCATATCTTATTTTATCATTATGCCTAAGTAAAGATCTCACCGAAAAGCTTACCAGAACAAGTAAACAAGTACTTCACATTCATTGCATTCTGATGTTATCTTTGATATATTAATATCTGCCTTTATACTTTGATTTAACCTTTTCTCACAGATCAACGACAAAAGCACAAAGGTTACATGCTTTCGGTTAGTCTTTCTAATCCTTACTTGTACAGTTTGCAAAATTTATGTTCATAGTATATTCTAATGTTATCGTACTACCAGCATTGTCAATAATGACAAAAATCACCATTTTACATTTACACACCCTTCTTGTAAAGTTTTTAGTAACATTAAAATATAAGTATAACATGCATGTACAAGGTATACCTACTTACTGCTATATACTCCTTATTATTTAATAGCTTATGACTACATACATGTTCAGTAGAATTTAACATTTACTTAAATCTAACCAGCAAAGATGGAAGATTGTGAGTCTTCAGGGATCCAAGCCTGTAACCATGAACGCCGACACCAGAGAAATTTTAGACGTAGGTTGCGCTCCTCAGAAATGTAAGCAAAAAAAAGGGAAATGTAAATCCAGATGGTATTGAGATATTAGTACATGGACTCTCTCGTAAGGTTTGACAAACCAGACTCACAGGAAGTTTCAACTGCAACTACCAAAAATAAGGGGAAGAAGCAAAAATGATGTTTTTTTTTTAATTCTATTATAATTAAATAGGTGCAGAATAAAGGCTTATGTAAGCTTGACTTCATAGACTCTATAATGATTATTAAGTGGTTTATGTATATTAAGCACATTAATTAGGAACTCTTATAATTAGTATGATAACCAATTACTCATAAATGTTGTTTAAATACTAAGTTGGTATTATTCAAAAAAAAATACTAAGTTGGTATACTTAAACTCTGATGTGTTAAAATACTAAGAAGCTGTTCTCTTCACCTGATCTGAATGTTTCTGATCTGAATTTTTTAAGTTTTGATCTGATCTGATCTGAATTTTTCTGATCTGATCTGATCTGAATCTTTCTGATCTGATCTGAATCTTTCTGATCTGATCTGAATGTTCCTGATCTAATCTGAATGTTCTTGATCTGATCTGAATATTCCTGATCTGATCTGAATCCTTCTGATCTGATCTGAATCTTTCTGACCTGATCTGATTTGAATATTTCTAAAATTATAATTACAATTATAATTACTATAATTATAAATGTAATTACACATATATAATTTAAATATAATTTAATTATAATCATAATTAAAAAAATTATAATTATAATTACAAACATAATTATAATAGGTATAATTATTATTATACGTATTACACTAGTTATAAATATAGTTATAATTATAATTGTAATTATATTTATAGTTATATTTACTTCTATAATTATAATTATAATTATAATTATAATATTTATTTCTATAATTTTAATTGTAATTACTCTGTATAATATGATAATAACGAAAACAAAACTAATAACAATAACAACAACCATATTAGTAGTACGAATAATAATAATAATCATGATAATAATAAATATCATAATAATAATAATAATCACAGTAATAATAATAATAATAATCATAATAATCATAATAATAATAATTATATCAATAATAATATTAATTATAATAATTACAATAACAACAACAAGAATAATTATTATTATTATTATTATTATTAATTATAATAATAACATGTCTGAAATTTTCTGATCTGATCTGAATGTTCCTAATCTGATCTGAATGTTCCTGATCCGATCTGAATGTTCTTGATCTGATCTGAATGTTCCTGATCTGATCTGAATCTTTCTGATCTGATCTGAATGTTTCTGATCTGATCTGAATGTTTCTGATCTGATCTGAATCTTTCTGATCTGATCTGATCTGAATTTTTCTGATCTGATCTGATCTGATCTGAATAAAATAAGAATAAACAATAGGTAATAAGATTAAGACGAACAGAACAGCTTCTAAGTTGGTATACTTAAAAGTTCAATAACGTGTGACTATTTTAAATGTTGTTGCACTATGGCACTATCATATTGAATCTGATTATATTATCAAGCATAAGCTACACATGTAATGTAATATAATCTATAATAGTTTTATTCATGTTGTTGTTACTTCAATAATTTAAGCATAGTATGTATGCATATGCTCATTCAAATATGAATTTGTAATATTCATTCCAAAGTTTTGCATTGTTGTATAATTTAGTACATATGTTCCTTCCAAATTCTCACCTCTATATTACCCTTGCACCAAATATCATACGGAGTATTACTCTTTAATATCAAATTCTACGCAAAAATGAACATTTCCATATTCATATTCATAAATCATATTGTTGAAAAATATGTATTAACCGATTCTTTCTCCATTGGCATTGGGCATAACTCCCACGAAGTGCGTAACCCGCTAGTGTATGTATACACACACACACCCTGTGTTGTTGGTTTCTTCTAGCTACCTAATTTCAATTCTGAGTGTAAATTTGTATCGGAAACTCTTGATTTTGTTCCTGTATTCTCATACTCCATTTGATTGAGTAGAATAATGATTTTTTAGTGATTAATCTTTTCTGGTTGTTTGAAATAATGTTTTACAATTTTTTTTGTGATTAATCCTTCAATACTCAAAATTAAAGTTTGCAAGTCATTCTATGTTAGAAATTGTCTAGCACTTTTGATTTGGTCAACCGCCAAGGAGCTATAATTATTTTTCTAAATATTTTACTATGTAAATTTATTTGGAGAAAAGGGGCATTTAAACTATCGAACTATTTACGATTTTGCAATCAAGCCCATGAACTAGAAGACTTGCAAATACACCTGCAACTCATTGAAAATTATGCGATTGGATCCTTTTTTAGTGTATATAAGAAGATGAGAAATTACCTACACCAGCAAGTAAAAGGGCTTCATCGCTCAATTACTTAGGCCTTTTCTGATTTACTCCTTCCGTCCCGCTAAGAAGTTCCTGCTATCCTTTTTTAGTAGTCCCAAAAAGAATTCTCCTTTCCTTAAATGGAGAATTGTGTACATCAAAACAGTGTAAAACAGTGTCAAACAGAGTTAAACAGTGTCGAAACAATGTCAAAACTCAAACTAATCATAAAGGGGGGAATTACACAATGCGGCATGCGGCTCTGCAAGTGCATAACAACGATGTATTTCTATTGTAAGGCCCCTAAACTTTACTTTAATCACTTTGTTGGCAGAACACTCTGTTTCTCTTGCTGGTTTCGTATTTCCAGTGCCGCTCTGCAAGTGCCTAGTCTGCGTCTCCTTGACTGCTTGAGAGGAGGCGACCGCCCACCGCCCTCCTCGATCGAAATGCGTCAACTCATCAACACTCACTCATCAACATCGGAAAACAGGAAACCGAATTCAGAAGCAGAGAAGCTGACAACCAGAAATTTTTGACAGGCCCTGACCAGGACACACCCTCCCAAACTATGAAACTCCTCCTACCTCCAATCCGCTTGCGAACGGCGAAGCCCAAAGTAGGTTGCACACATCCTGATTTCCTGCCCAACGAGGTTATCAAGATCATCGAGACTGTCTCCCCCATGGAACCCGCTCTTGAAAAGGTATCTCATTTCCTATCATCTCATATGGTGACCTCTGCTCTTCGGAAGCTACAAAAACCTGAGCTGAATTTTCGATTTTTCATTTGGGCAACAAATAGGAAACGTTTACGCAGCTTAGATTCGCTTAATTTAATCACCGACATGATCGTAAAGGATGAAAATTTCGATCTATATTGGAAGACGCTCGAGGAAGTAAAGAGTTCTGCAATGCCAATCTACCCGGATGCTTTCAACGTTCTGATCTCTGCCTATTGGAAGCTAAATAAGGCTGAGTTGGCCATTGAGTGCTTCGATAGAATGAAAGATTTTGATTGCAAAGCTAATTCTTTTACATATAATTCCATCCTTCACGGTATGGTTCAGAAAGGTGTAATTATATTAGCATTAGCCGTGTATAATACGATGATGAAGTCAAATTGTTCTCCAAACAGCTTTACATTTAACATTTTGATCGATGGATTGTGTAAGAGTGGGAATACACGGGATGCACTTGCACTGTTTGATGAAATGTGTACAAGAGGGATACTGCCAAGTAAAATGACTTATACAGTTATTCTTTCTGGACTGTGTCAGGCAAAGAAAATAGAAGATGCATGTAGGTTGTTTAACTTGATGAAGACTAGAGGGTACACTCCAGATTATGTATCGTACAATGTCTTGCTCAATGGGTTCTGTAAATCGGGTAGGATTGATGAAGCACTTGCATTATTTGAGTCCTTTAAAAGTGAAGGCTATGGTGTAGGGCTGGAGGGATACAGTTGTCTAATTGATGGGTTGGTTAGGGCTAAGAGGTTTGACGCAGCTAATTGTTTATATAAAAAGCTCTTAGAGATTAATATTACACCTGATGTTGTTTTATGCACTATTGTCATTAAGGGGTTATCTCAAGAAGGTAGAGTGAAGGATGCACTGGATATACTGAGAGAAATGACAGGGAGAGGTGTTATACCAGACACCCAGTGCTACAATACGCTGATTAAGGGGTTTTGTGATATGGGTCTCCTTGATGAAGCAAGATCTCTTCAGCTTGAACTTTCACAGAACGGTTGCTTTCCGGACACTTACACCACAACTTCCCTCATTTGTGGTATGTGCAAGAATGGTATGGTGAGGGAAGCAATGGATATCTTCAGTGAAATGGAGAAACTAGGTTGCTCTCCTTCTGTTGAGAATTTCAATGCCCTTATAGACGGACTTTGTAAATCTGGCAAGATTGATGAAGCCCGACTCATGTTTTACAAAATGGAGATAGGGAAGAAACCGTCATTATTTCTTCGGCTTTCTCAAGGCGTTGACCCAGTTCATGACACGGCAAGTCTCCAAACAAGAGTTAATAAGTTATGTGAGGCGGGGTCAATTCTCAAGGCTTACAAGCTTCTTATACAGCTTGCAGACAGTGGAGCCGCCCCTAACACCGTTACATACAACATTCTGATAAACACAATGTGCAAAATGGGAAAAATAGATAGTGCATTGAAACTCTACGAGGAACTTCAAATCAAGGGGCATTCCCCCGATCCAGTCACTTACGGGACCCTCATTGATGGATTACAAAGAGTTGGGAGGGAAGAAGATGCTTTTAAGCTATTTGACCATATCAGCAAGAACGTACATTCACCAAGCATGTACAAGTCCATGATGACATGGTCTTGCCGTAGGCGGAAGATCACTCTAGCTTCTAATCTTTGGTTGAGGTATTTGAGGAGTCAAGCCACGAGGGATGAAGAGGATATCCAATTGGTTGAGAAATATTTGGAGGAAGGGGAGCGGGTGAAAGCGGTCCAGAGGTTGCTGGAAATTGAAACCAAGTTGGCGGATTTTGATTCGGCCCCATATAGTATTTGGTTGATTGGGCTTTGTCAGATAGGTACTCCAGAAGAGGCAGTCAAGGTTTTCTATATCATTCAGAAGTTTGGACTGAATGTGTCTGCTCCGAGTTGTGTGATGTTGATTAGCAGTCTTGTTGAGATTGGAAGTTTGGATCAGGCTGTGGAGGTTTTCCATTATACTTTGGAGAAAGGTATACGTTTGATGCCACGTGTCTGTAATAAGTTGCTCCAATCCCTTCTTTGTTCTAAAGAAAGTTCTGAGCTTGCCTATGTGGTGTTAAATGGTATGAATTTGACGGGTTGTGACTTGAGTGTCTATCTTCACGCCCACACAAGATCTCTTTTACGACATTGGAACATAAGGGAATCAAAAAACACAGCACCTGGATAGGGTTGTTCAGGTCTAGTTTGTTATTTTCACGGTTGTTAAAGCTTGTGCTTCCTTCCCACATTGTCCTCACTAACCCCAGTTTTCATTGAGAAAGGTTTGCTTATATTTGTGCAATCTACTGAGAGTTACATCGGAGAAACTGTGTTAATGTGTATGTTTGCGGATAGTTGGCACCCTCAAACGGGATAGTTGACACGGGATGTTCTTCACTACCAAGCAAGCAAACAAACAACACACGGAAAGGTAATTTTTACCTTTTATTTGTTTATTTCTCATGTTTTCAGGGTTGATTTAAACTCTAGCCTCTTTGATTTATTTAATGTATAAAAAATTCTTTTATGCATATTCTGTATAACGTATCCATAAAAAATGATTCTTCTCGAGTCCCATGTTCATGATTCTTTTTTTTGAAGGAACAAATCTGAAATTTTATATGAAGGTAGTTTTGATTCACAAAAAAGGTTCACAACTATGTTCAACTTTCAAACTTTTTTTTTTCTTAAAATCTTGTAATTGTCAATGAAGGTTAGGGTATTTTAGTGATGAAAAAAATGTTGGTGTAATCATCTAGCTTTATTAGGTTGTATGTACAATGTCTTTTATTGTGTTTACTTTTCTGAAGGACTTTAGGGCCTGTTTACTAACAGAGATTTTCCAGTTTTCCAGAAAACTAGAAAACTGGAAAACAGAAAACAGGAAACGTGTTTACCAAAGAAATTGCTGGAAAACTGTAGAAAGAAAAAAAGAAAAACGCGTTTACCAAATCGTTTTCCAAAACGGAAAAATGAGACATGTCTCTCTTTTCCTTAATGATTTGGAAAAGTGACTTTTACTAGTTTTCCAAATTTGGAAAACGCAGATGCTACAGTGCCGCTGCAATGAATTTGCATACTTACACCTAGTGGTGGGTCCAGTCCCGCTCCGATGTCGATTCCATTCCGGTACCTCCATCCTCTTACCTTACCCCCTACCCTACCCTACCCACCACACCCCACCCCGCATACTCATTTTCCCCTATAATGACCCTACCCCACCCCTACCACATGCCCCTACCTCGGCCCCACCCCGATCCACCCTACCCTACCGCCACCCCCTACCACCTCGACCCCACCCCGACCCACCATACCCCCACCCGTATATTACCCCTTACCACATGCCCCCTACCTCGGTCCCACCCCACCGCCATCCTACCCCCACCACCATCCTACCCCCCACCTTACCCTTCCCCTACCTCGGCCCAACCCGGATCCTGGGCCCACGCCATCCTATCCCAACTCCCTACCCTACCTTACCCCAACCCTAACCCTACCCACTACCCCCACCCTTAACCGCCATCCTACCCCCCACCCTACCCCTTCCCTACCTCGGTCCCACCCTGGTCCCGGCCCCACCCTACCGCCATCCTATCCCAACTCCCTACCCTACCCCTACCTTACCCTTACCCTACCCACTACCCCACCCTTACTCCTAACCACGACCCTAACCCACCCACTACCCCCACCCAACCCCCTACCCCTAGACCTTACCACCCCACCCCAACCATACCCTTTACCCCACCCCCACCCATAACTTCCCTACCACGACCCCTACGATGAGTAGGTATGGGTGGGTATGAAGAGTTGTGGGGAGTATGGGTAGAGTGTAAGATCGTGGTAAAGGTATGGGTAGGGGTCAAAGGTGTGGAATTGGAGAACTGGGTGAAAAAATTGATTAACATGTTTTCAGATTTGAAAATGGAAAACTAAAAAATAGAAACAGAAAAGTGGAGATAGAAAAACTGAAAAATAAAAACAGAAAATTGGAGAACGAAAAACAAAAGTAGAAAACAGGAAAATATCTCTGTTAGTAAACAGACCCTTATTTTTCCGTTTAGTTTCCGTCTCGTTCTGTTATCTCAGCTTAAGCCTTCAACAATGAATGACCTCCGGCTTCTTTCATCTCACAGCGGCCCTAACCCTGGTGTCACATAGGTGGTTACACATGCGCCCTAAAGCGGGCTGCCATCGTTGCCGTCTTCTTGCACCAACCGGCTACGTACTACGCTTACATCCCGTTTCTCCTTTTTTTTGCTCAGGTCTGCTCATCTCCTTCCTCATTAATACCCATATTACTATGTTAATTGAATGCCTTGTCATTGAGTTCATCAGTTATGGATGATGCAGGGGTTGATACTCCAGACCTCACGCCTTCAGCAACTATAAATTCGTTTTTATGCAACTTGGGAAAAACTTCCACACTTCCTGTCATCTCTCTGCTTCCCTTCCCCTGTCTATGGTGGTTTTCAGTCCCTTTTAGCTCCCTCTCACTGTCATTCATCTGCTTAAGACTGAATCAAGGTAGTCAAAGTCGAAAGGCGCAAAGCGCTAGGGGCCTTCCAGCGCCTGAGGTGCAAGCCGCTATTAAAGCGCTCGCCTGACTCGGGTGAAGTGCATTACTTAAAAAATATCACATATACTATTTTATAATTATTCATCATTTTCAATGGAGCCAAAGACTCACTATTTTTTTTGGCTTGGGAATATGATGAAATAAAGCAAAATGGCTCACTAAACTGTCTGCGCTTCTTTGTTATGAAGTAACCGTCAGTCTATGCAATTTTCGACGCGTTTTTCACTATGGGTCATTCGGAAATAGTCTCTCTGTGCTTTAGTACAGGGGTAAGACTGCGTACATCCGACCCCCCTTACCCCACCGTAGGTGGGAGCCTTTGCGGCACTGGGGTAATGATGATGATGACTATTCTATAATTACCAAATATGATGTATGTAACATCATATTGAACCAAATGCATAGAACAAAGCTGAGTATTTTATTTAGATTATAATGAGACAGTTTTTCAAACGTATGATACTATTTAGTGATCAACTTAGTGACATAAAATGAGAAATTTAAGATAAAAAAACTGAAATGTTTGTGTGACTTGTGATGAAAATTTTAAAAACTCGGATTACATCTTTGGAAAAGCACAAAGCAGAGTATTATATACAGTATACACATTACAGTGTACTACTACTATATTACGATTAGTATTATACACATAGTATGCTAGTAATATACTTATATACCAATAACTCAATAAGTGGTATACTAGTATGGGAACTCTTCCGGTAAGGTATACCTTACCGGAGCCACCGTGCGGCCTCCACGTTTTGAGGGCCTTCCCGGTGGAATTTTTTGATGAAATTTTTTGAGCATGTTCTTCATCAAGTCTAGTACATCCATACCAAATTTCAGCAAAAAATTCAATCGGAAAGGCAGTCAAATGATTTTTGGAAGATAACTGCACCCATACTAGTATTATTAGTTTATTACACATTTAGACAATAGTATTTAGATACTAGTGTAGTATGAGCATAAGACCATATGTCTATATGAGTCTAAAATATTGGATGAAGAGGACTGCATAAAAAGAACACATACCTTATTTAGAGCTGTGATTAAATTGAGGTTGCTTGAGAAGATGAAGAAACTGAGGAGAGTGAGTAGACTGAATAGCGATGTTTAGTGACTTGAGGTTTAGCAAGAAAACTTGGTTGTTTACGCTGGGTTTTACATCTTTTCATATGTGACTTAAGAGGTTTTATGCAGGTTTTACTTGTTTTACCCTATTATTTAGATTTTAGATGGACTGAGTGTTATACATATATGGGCTAATTATTTTTAAAAGTTTTAAAGAAAACAAAAGGCCGTCAGCCTTATTTGCACCAGGCGACCCAAGCACGCGACTAATTTCGCTTCAGCGCTTCATGCGCTTCTGCACTTTAGCTGCGCCTAACCCATCTGTGTGCACATGCCCTTCTCCCAAGCGCTGGAGTCCCTGCTTGCTGCGCCTGGTGCGCTTAAGCGACAAGGTGCACACTTTTGACTACCTTGGACTGAATTATGTTTGATTCTGACTAACTAAACATAAGAACGTAGAAGCACAACCATAATTTTTCATAAATTTATTAGGTGTGAACCTCAAACTTGAAAAAATACAATGTGTGGAGGGAATAACAAAGTGTATTATATGGTATCATTTTGAGACTATAAATTGGTGTGATGAATTGAACATTAGGATTTTCAAGACTATGTTAGAAAAGCTTTACTTCTGCTTTTTATTGTAATGGTTGTTGAGATGGAGGTCCACTCAGGTGGTTAATATGGTATCGTTCTGAGGGAAAAAATATAGTTCATATTGCAATAAGAATGAAATCAGAGGTGCTGAGATAGGCATTTCAAAACTGCTCCAAACCCCCCTTAGGCACCGGCATTGGACACATAGTAATTACTTCCAGTTGCAGGGGGCTTTTACATACATAGCTTCACTCTTTCGTTTCTGTGTTCAGCCTTTTGGCATGTCATATACACTTTACATATGTTTATATTTTATACTAAAGAAGCATTACTTAATTTCGTAAAACATAACTAAACAATTAAGAATGTACAAAGTGCTGTAAATGGAATAATTGTAGCCTAAACTTGTATTTCGCTCCTTTGTTGTCACAAACTTATAAATTACCAGTAACATGGTTATTTAAAATGTGCATTCAAATTGACAACACTGTGTTCTGTTTAACTTATGTCAATGGAATTAGCCTATTTGAATATTTTTATAACCTCTGGATATCTCTTATGTCCTAACATCTGTCATTAGCATAGCCTATTTTAAATAGTCTGCTACTCTCTATCAAATTACTAAATGATTCAGTTACAGAATGATCCCCTTTGGCAATCTGTATGTTTCTTAAACTGGGAATTTATCTATGAGTCGTATCTGTGAGTACTTCACAATTTTCTCTATTTCATCTTTCTGGTAGTGAGGGGTACCTGTAAGGTCGTATGTTAGGTATTTTAGCTTCTTCCCTAATGTTGATAGCATGATCACAACTTCTTTTAGGAGGTAACATTGCTGGCATATGAAAAACCTCCTTATGCTTGTCCAACACTTCCTGCCTTGATTCTCCTGGTGCAGCCCCATTTACGGACTCATCCTGAGAGCTACAAGTCACATAAAAACATTGGCCTTCATTTTTTATAGCTTTTACCAGTGCCTTCCAGGAAACTTGCACTTGGCTTAAAGTTGGATCTCCTTTTAAGATCTCTATTCTCCCTTCTTCACAACACTTAAGTGTGAGATCCTGGAAATTTATCTCCACATTCCCCAAACTGGCAAGCCATTCAACCCCAAACACTAAATATGTCCATCCCAGCTCCAAGAGGTAGAAATTCTGTATAATATCAAGGCCTTGCACATCAACCTGATATCCCCTTTCCCATCAATTTCCCTTCCAACTTGATGGTCTTCTGTGTAGTGATCCCCTGTTTGCTCATGGCTGATAGTAGCATTTGTTGTGGTTCTAGGGAGATATCTGCCTCATTCAAATTCACTTCTGGATCCATATTATCTGCTTCTTCCTCAGGCCCCTCCATGAGAATGAACTGATAGTATTTCATTTTGCATACATGATCCTTGCCCCATCTTTCCCCGGATTTGAGACACAGCCCCTTCCTGCTTCTATCTTGTAATTCTGTTTGTGTTAGCCTCTGACCACCCTTCCGGTTATTATTGAGTTCTGGTTTAACTCCCGCCTTAGGCACAACTCCAGATTTTTCCTGAGATGATTGAATATTGGTTTGGAATCTCCATTTGCTGCCATCTATCCACTGTTGAGGTTTCTTCAGTGCCTCTCCCTTCTCCCTTCCAGCCCTCTGGTCTCCCTCCTTGTATTTTTCCCCTCGAATTGCAGCATTCTTCCCTTCTAGCACTAGAGATATATCCATGAGCTCAGGTAGTGAGGCTTTTGGATATAGTTTGAGCTCTGCTTTCACCTCCTTCAATCCATTGAGGTAAATTCCCTTGAGCATCTCCTCATCAGTATGCTTCAATGGGCCCACTACCAGTTCAAATCGTTCCGTGTACTCCATCACCGATCCATTCTGTTTAATGCTTAACACTGGCCCATACGTATTCTGTACTAACTCTGGTTGGAATCTCCTGATCAGTGCTCCCTTAAAAGCTCCCAAGTTTTTCCTCATTTTGTTCTTCCCACCATTGAAACCAATTCAAGGCTTTTTCTTCCATGGCCTAAACAACCAGCTCTACCTTTTCCTGCTCGGTCACATGATTTAATTTGAAGATTCGTTCCACTCTAATAAATTCAGACATTCACATCTTCACCATTAAATAGAGGAAGATCCACTTTCCTACCAGTTCTCTCAAATCCTCTATTAACATGTGCATGTTCATGAGTGCACACAGAAACGGAAGTGCTATTTGTATTACCTCGAGAGTGCGAAGACTTCTCGCTAGCATCCAGAGATCGTCGCCTGTGAGTTCGCCATTTGACGCAGCTCGGAAATGATCTCGTGCATATTGTGCATCTCCTCCATGTTGCGATCGATCTTTTGCTCGAGGTGAGTGTTTCACTCCATGTTACGATCTATCTTCTGCTCGAGATTATCCAGTCGTCCTTCCATTTGTGATCGGGTAAATCTCATTCACCAGCTCAGGAGCGAATTGCTCTGATACCAATGTTAGCCAAGCTAACAACAGTAACTGAAGCAGTATTATTAGCAATGGAAACTGAGGAAACAATCCAATCTCAGTATTCCAGGAGAGGATTACAGTGAGGAACGAGAAAACAATCCAATCTAGAGAAAGAACAGGGAGTTTCTCTCTCTAGCCAAGCCCAGCCATTTCTAACAGAATACCAGCCTACCTCTCCCTTATTTCCCCCCTTACATATATTCAACAAACAAGCCAGCTCATTAATGATTCACGCCCTTCTTTCCCCTCCTCACATACACCTTTTAAAAATACTCTACACCCCTCGTGCTATCAAATATGAAAGTCGAGAATGAAGCATGAAATTTAAGAAAAACCTGTTTTCAAAATGTAGTAGTTTAATGTTTATTTTGGTCGATCTATTGGTAAAATATTACATGCATTGCTGTTTTTTTTAAAAGAAATATTTTGTTTTCTACTTCATTTATTTGAGCTCCGTATGCACTCGAGTTGTTCTTGACCCAAGCATCATGAACTGCTCCAAACCCCTGGACACAGTAATTACTTCCAGTTGCAGGGGGCTTTTACATATATATAGATTCACTCTTTCGTTTCTGTGTCCAGCCTTTTGGCGTGTCATATACATTTTACATATGTTTGAATCACAGAAATTGCTTGGAATGACAAAAGTGCTATAGAGAGCTATTTTCTTGTGTTTGTTTTTATCTCGGAATGTACAAAGGGTAATGAGATGTGGTCAATCTTTTTAAAAAAGGTTTGATTTGTTTTTCTTTTTGTCTTTATATAACAGATACTGATTAATAAAATGACTGTTAACCAATGCTTTATTTCTCCCCATATTTTTTCACCAAACAGTGCTAATTCTCCATTTATTGGCTGAACTTAAAAAACCCCAGTCCAATATGGGCTGAATTGCTGAAATGTCACCCAAATATAGCCTTACTAAACTTCATCAAATTAGAGCTATCAGTAGACTTTGGAATCATTCTGTCACCTTTGAAATTCTTAACAAAGTTAATACATTCATGACTATTACGTATCAAACACTCTTATATATGTTGAATAAGAGGGAAAAATTTGGCCGGCGTTTGAAATGGTGTGTTGAGACAGGCTTTTCAAAACTATGTTAGGAATCATCCAATGAATTGAACCGTAAGGCCATTAGTGTAATGCACTGAACAGAACATTCTAACCAGTTAATAAATTAGTGTAATGGATTGAACATTAGGATTTTCAAGACTATGTTATTTCATTCAGTTGATAACTAAGTGTATTATATGGTATCATTTTGGAGTAATCAGGTGGTTAATATGGTATCATTTTGAGAGAGAAAATAATAGTTCATATTGAATTAAGAATGAAGTCAAACTTTTCAGCTACTTTAGTAACAGAGAAATGAAAAGGCGACTAGAGTTAATAAAGTGCTGCAGCCTCTTTCTTTACTTGGTTTATCTGTCAATTTTAAATCTTTCCGTTAGTGTAATCCCACCCTTAACTCGACTTCACTTTCTTTGACTTCCAGAGGGCAGAGGCTTCATGAAGTTACAGATTGGCATTAGGATTACCTTATGCACCCGTCGAGCTCGTAGGGAACACCGACACTAGCGTTTCTCAACCGACATTTTCTTCAGTTCCCCAAATGTAAGTTATGGTTTGCATTCTTTTTAATGATTAATGATGTTGCTTGTGTATAAAGATGGCATCTTCATTCAATAAACAACTGAGTAATCATTGATATGAAGTGTCAGTTAGGCAATTGAAGAGTTTACTTTGATTGGCAATTATCTCTCAGTCCTTCAATACTGTTCTACGGGTAAGGATTTTATCCCTTTCCATTTTTTATTGACTGTGTCTGTTGAATCCTGTTTATTGAATGGCAGGTCTTTGCCCTGTAGAGTATGTGAGGAAAAATATTTGTGCATATTTTCATCATATTTCTTATTTTCCATCCAAACCAGTTACATGAATCTATTATCTAATTTTTCTCCATCCTCCTAGTATGTCATCTCTATCTGTAAAATCTAAACTGTGTAGCTAGCACATGGCCTCTGTCGATTGTGATGAAATCAGTTTAAAATTAAGCCCCTCTGAAACACAAGCATCCAAACAAAAAGTGAAGTGCGACCATGGCGTTTCTTCATCGCTGCAGATGGTATCCTCAGGGCGAAACAAGGGAAAGAGATTTATGGCTGCCCCAAATTGAAGGTAAACAAATAGAATTTTTGTAGTTATGAAGTGCCATAATCTAGTTACTTTTGAGTTTTAGAAATAAAAATTGTAAAAAAACTTGAGCCTTGGTGTATTCGAATTGTTACTTGATTTTTTTGTTTTGAATTTGCAGAGTGATAAGTGATAAGTGTATTTTTTTCTTATGGCAGCACGGTCCAACACACAAGTATTTAATTGTGACGGAATGAAAATCTTAAGAACGAGCTGCAGAAAATTCAGGCTGCGAAAAAATTGTTGTTGGAGAAAATCATATGTCCGCTTCGATTGAAGCTCTCTGTTATGCCATTTGAGGAACGAGTAATTGCGTAGCGAAGGAAGATATAGAGAAATACAGATAGAGAAGAAAACTGGTTGGGTAGGATCTTCTAAGACCAGAAATAAATTGAATTCTTGTACCTGCGGAACTCGATTGACCCTATCAATATGCTTGGTTTATATGTGGAAAAAGAAACTGGTTAAACGGTGTTACAGTAAAAGAAAGCTCTGTCTAGTTCATTATTTGTATGTGGACCTCATGGGAAGCTTGAATTACTCATGCAAAAGTTTGAAGTAGGGATTACTTTTGTTTAATTGATTAAAGCAAGGATTAATCTTATCAATTTCACCTATACATAAAGCATGTTTATGAATTAAAATGCTTAACTCAGCCGTGACATGATACCGTTTTTTTTCATTTTCTTTGCACAGACCTCCATAAAGGGCTATACTGCTATAGTTTTCTGATTTTTTTCTTTTGTAATTTATTCAATTTTGTAAATTAGATTGCATTCAGTTTAGTTTGGAAAATCATTACTTCATTTTTATTTGCACCACACGTCCACTCCTCAAGATCAATTTGATTATTATTCGTGATTATCAAGTGTCTATTCATATATTGTATTTAGCTTTGGCATCTGTTTGTGTGAATAAATCACTATGTTCAATAAATGGAGGCGCAGAGTTGTGGAAGATAACATTCGATCTCAGAAGTGTAACACCTTTCGGAAGTGTAATTTAAAATAATACAATCTCACAGTACCAGTCCCGAGTTGGTCCCAAGTTAAGCCTGCCTGGCCCAGTCCACCCCTAGTTAGCATTGTGCTACCATATTTATGGTTGAGTAGTTATAACTTACTACGTATAAAGTATACATGCCTATATGGCTATATGCGATAATACTGAATTACTGATTGGTCAAAGATTTTTGTTTACAGAAAAGTCAATCAAACAGTCTAGACTTTATAAATATGAACTTGTTTCTTCGAGATAAAAAATTCAATTTCTAGTAATCAAAGTATCCTGTCATTCCTGTGTAATGCATGAGTGAAAGAACTAGTTACATATGATGTGCTACAATTCTAGCCTATATACATTCTAATTTTTTTTATTTAAAATTTACATTTATCATTGAATGCACTCGCATCTTCAGTAAACAAGTGTAACAAGGCTGTCAAGAACAATGCTACTCCATGATCAACTCCATGCTTGTCCTCGACTCCTTGCACATAGACTGCATTTGAGCTTGTGGCAAATTGAATAATTCCTCATTTGGCCCACCTAACATGATACCCGCTAAATTAACAAATCAATATTCTGCTTGGTAAGAAGTATTGAGGTGTGACATATTTAGGTCTTCTGGTCTCCATACATGTACACATCCCGGAGATGCAACTATTTGAGAAATTGCTATGCCAATACTTTCAGGTCACTTAATGCGTTGGAGGAACGGATATATCCTGAGTTAATATTAGATTATAGCATTATAGAGTTAATATTAGATAACAAAGGAGAACTGAGCATACGCATTCGTTCTTTTATTACAGCACCATACTCAGTTCCGACATTCCTCTTGGCAAAGATGAGTATGTTTTGGTACATTTCTTTTGAAGGTTGGATTCCTCCCTCCTCCATCCACTGCATCACCTGCATGAGAGCATTGTGAAACCATTGAAGTTTTCAAAAATACAAAATAATTACCGATTTGGATAAGTCAACAAGTTGGAGCAGGAGTTTGTGAACAATGAAAGGGGACCAACCATTAAAAAATGAAAGGGACCAGCCAAACTCTGCATTAGTTTCTGTGCAATGGTTGCGAAGGAGTCAAGTGCATCTTCCAAGCATTTAAATAACTGATTTGTTAGATTATATGATTATATCTATTTATTGTTATCTTCTTTAAGTAAAACGTCAAGGAACGTTCTTACTAATACTAGTTTGTATAATGTTCTTTGCCCCAAATTTAGTAATGACTTCAAACATGAGAAGTCGTGTTGGGCTGCTCAACCATACTCCATATCCAATACATGAAAAGTGAACTAAAATCCAAATTCATGTTTAGTTGGGTTGGGCTTGAAGGACTAAAATTTGGAAGTTAAGATTTGCTCATCCTAACCACCAAAGCTCTCTGGCTGCCCAATTTCATACCACATAGCATTCATTGGAAATAATGTTCTGCAGCAATGCAGTTTCTATTTCTCAAATATATATGCTAAATTATGCCAAAAAACAAGAAAATAGTCCAGTTTTAGTCACACAACTAAGGTCATTTATATTTTGGTCCACAAATTTCATTTTTGTCCACTTTTAATGCATAACACCATAATTTCTGTGTTGTCACTGCTAGTCTTTCTGATCACTATACGATGAAAATTTAATTGGAAATGGTAGAGAATTGGCCAAATAAGAGATCGAAAGGACCAAAGTGCAACAATTCCAATATCCCATAGAAGTGCACTAGAAGTGGAAAAGATGATTGTAAGTAGTTGTGGGACCAAAAGTAGAAACTTTTCATAAAATAATAGAGAAGTTATCAAGTCACCTCAATGTATTTCCTCCAATTTCCAGCACTCAAAAGATTCTCCAACAAAACTGAGTACGTGGATAAGTTGATTTCTGCACCTGATGCAACTATCTTGTAGTAGAACTACACAAGAATGAATGCATGAGAATATACCTTCGACCTTTTCAATGATTCAAATAACATACTACGTACTTGATAACTTCTAAACTACCTTTATCATGGTCTCAATCTTGCCGGATTTTCCAATACACAGGAGAAGCTGGTTCAGAATTCCAACTGAGATGCCAGGGAGTGATGCCTCCATCAATTTAATAATTTCACTCGTCATTTCCCAGTCTCTTAATCTTTGAATACATATATAATAACAATTAAGTTTCTTGAGAAATGGGAAATAAACATTTATACAATAGTTCATGAGAGAAGCCACCTTTTAAGAACCAATAGAAGTCTAGTGCAACCAACTTATCCACAAACGTTTTGTCGCAAGTGTAAACATCAAATTAGTTAACGTATGATAGAGAACTTAAGAGCCAGGTGTGATGTGTAAGACCAAAGAGAAGCATTCTGTAAACCAAGCTTGATTTTAAGTGAAGCTCTTTTTCACTAATATTGGAAACTGGTTTATGTTAGATTGTTAGGTGAAGCTCTTTTTGACTAATATTTGAGCTTATATTGAAATATATGATGGGGATCATAGGTCGCTACTTAGGGAAAACACGAGCTTGAAATTCAATTTTTTACGAATGCAAAGAGTGACAGAAGCATAATTATTAGCATCAATATATGCAGGTCATTAATGCTGCTCAACAAGACTCACATGCTGCATGCAGAAACCATCTCAAAGAAAACAGCATCAATAAAACGGATACTCCTTTCTCGCATGAACTCTGCCACAATAAGAGCTCTGGCCGGTTGACCTCCTTTGTTGAAGGCCCGCATAAGAAATGAACAGGCAATAGAGTCTGGAATAACATTATTTGATTCCATTTCTTGGAATACTGTGAAAACCTTCTCCAGATTGTCTGTAAAATAAATTACACATGTTTTCCAGGGGACACAGATACATGTAACATATACATGTAGCATGATTGAGTGTATGGTATTTTTCAAGAATCGCACATTACATAAATTTAAAAGTGGAGCCTTGATTAAATTAAAATTTTCATTTAATTTAATCAAGGCCCAAATTATAATTTTTTTTAGGCCTTTTTATTCCAATATTACTAAAAATAGGATAAAAGCTAAAAAAGTGATCTATTTTTTAAAATTCTAAAAATGTGACCAACATCACAATTAACCCTGCAGTGTAAACTGTAAAGTGACTCCGGACAAAGTGACTCCGGCCAAAGTGACCCCACCGAACACAGTGACTGCCCCGCCGGGCCCTGCCGCCACAGTGACTGCCCCGCCGCCACAATGACTGCCCCGCCGCCACAGTGACTGCCCCACCGCCACAGTGACTCCGGCCACAACGAATCCGGTCACAATGACTCCAGTCATAGTGACTCCTCCGCCGCAAAGTGACTCCGCCGCCGCAGTGATTGCCGCACCAGCCAAAGTGACTGCCCCACCGGACCACTGCAGCCGCCCCTCGTGAGTGACTGCCGCGGCTCCCTCGTTAGTGACTGCCGCCGCCCCAACGTTAGTGACTGTCGCCGCCACATCGTCAGTGACTGCCGCTGGCCCTTGTTAATGACTGTCGTCGCCTCCGCAACTGTACACCACCACGAGTGCCATCACCGGCCACTGCAACCGACCATCACTGCTCCGGTCAGCAAATGCTCACCAGCCCTCAGCCACTGCCCCGCGTCGCCACAGCCCTTTCCCTGCGTCACCCCAACCCCCCTCCTTTCATCACCCAGCCGTTGCCTCACCCAACCCCCTCCCCTGCGACACCCAACCCCCTGCCAGTCCAGCACCACCACGCCCCAGTCCCTGTAGCATCACCACGCCCCAACCCCTCTGGCACCAGGCAACCACATCGTAGTTATTGGTGTGTTAGCACCGCCACCGTCACAACCGGCCACCACTATAGATCTATAGTTCTAGCTTCATTGCAGATTTGAAACATAGTCACCACACTAAATCTGAACAAGAGATGACGTAGAAACACCATAGGAAGGAGAAGAATAACTAGATCTAATATCATACTAATTCGATTTCGTTGTTTTTGTTGAGGTTGGAGTCATCGTTAATGGAGTCTCACCGCCATCACTCAATCGCTGGAGTTCGCCGCAACATGGATTTCATCTGTGAGGTGAAGAGCTGCTGAGATTGGGGGCGGAGGGCGTTTGAGCTTCGCGTCTTGCATCCATGGCAGCTCATGGCAGCTCTGGCCGTGCCTTAAAACGTCGAACGAAGAGAGAAGGAAGGCAGCGTCGAATGAAGAAAGAGGCAAGCATCGGGTCAGTTTTTTTGGAAAAATTGAGAAAAGTCATAAATTTAGAAATCAGAAGTCAATTAGTGATACGCGTGCAATTTTTTCTTTTTTTAATTTAATTTAAGGGTAAAATAAATAATATACCCCGAACTTTGCCTTAGTGTGAGTTCCCCACCCCGAACTTGTCCTAGTTTAAAAAATACCCCCACCTTTATTTATTTAAATTTTTTGTACCATATTTTAATTAACAAATAATATTTCTCAAGTTATAATATGTTAATTAGATTTAGTTGTCAAAAAAAGATTAATTAACATATTTTTTGTACTTAAATTAGAGATTTTGAAGTTATTTAATCAATTCGAAAAGCACACATTAATTTGGGAATCACACATCTTTTTTTGCCAACTAAATCTAATAAAAATATTACAATTTGAGAAATATTATTTGTTTATTAAAATATGGTACAAAAATATTAAATAAATAAAGTTGAGGGTATTTTTTAAACTATGACAAGTTTGGGGTGGGGAGCTCACACCAAGGCAAAGTTCGGGGTATATTATTTATTTTCCCCTTAATTTAGTCAAGGCCCAACTTTAAAATTTATGCAATGTGCTGCGATTCTTGACAAATATTTCTATTTAAAATTTATTGAGAAAAGGGGCAAATAAGGCCACGTACTAACCAAAAAAGGTCAAATAAGGCCTTGTTTAAGAGGCTCTGTCCGGCCATCACCATTTGGGGTAGTTCCTGGTGGAATTTTTTGATGAAAATTTTTTAGCATCTTATTCAGTAAGTCTAGTTTACTCATACCAAATTTCAACTAAAACTTCAATCGGGAAGGCATTCAAATAAATTCTTGAAGATAACTGCGTAGTTAAAAGCGCAATTATCTTCAAGAATTCATTTGAATGCCTTCCCGATTGAATTTTTAGCTGAAATTTGGTATGAGTAAACTAGACTTAATGAATAAGATGGTAAAAAAGATTCATCAAAAAATTCCACCGAGAACCACCCCAAATGGCGAAGACCGGACAGAACCTCATAAATAAGGCCTTATTTGAACTTTTTTGGTTAGTACGTGGCCTTATTTGCCCCTTTTCCCAAATTTATTTGTTTGGTTAACTTTGTTTAGCGTATTTCACTTTTTTGGAACATTTTATTGTCAAAAGTTACTTTAGTTTAAATGAAAAATAACTTTTGTTTTGGGACATTTTCAAAAAAATAACTTGTTTTGGGACAAAATAAGTTTTGAGATGTGCATCCTTTTGTTTTGGGCATATGGAGCTTATAATAACTCACCTGCAACACTGTAAGCATGTAGCATTGTTGTGTATGCAATGACATCAGGCTGATAGCCAGCCAATTTCATCATGGTGAACATAGATTCCGCCTTAGCAAGTTGACCCTGAGAGAATGAGAGGAGGTGAGGTGAGTCATTTTCTATAAATAATTTTTTCCTAAAAGAATTGTTTAATTATATGAGGATAAAAAAATGCCAAAATCAAGTACTGACAAACAAGTTTAAAATATGACAAATTTAGATAACCATAAAAAAGCCTCTGCAATATACGTGCCATTTATGAATTATAACAGTTGCACTTTGACAAGGACAACACCTTGGTCAAATAGAACTCAAGATGTTTTTACTTGGACTATTTACAGTCCCAAACCAGACCAGACCATACTTAAATAATCCAGTCCAGACCAGAACAGATTTTCGTAGTTATAAAATACACAGGGACCATACATTTAGCAGACCATACTAGACTTAAACAGACCAGCCCACCAAATTTCAGTCCAAGTAAAAACATCCTCATTTTGTAAGAGAGAGGAAATGATAATTATAACTATCAAGCTTTAAGTAAAAAACCATATCAATGAAATCAATAATGTGTTGTTAACTTGTTACTTTGCACTCACAAACATTTCAGATACTTGCCTGCTTACTGTATGCACAAATTGCAGATGAATATACTTCTCTTGACATACAAATTTTCATTTGCATCATTTCATTAAGAAACACAAGTGCCTCACAATATTTTGACATTTTGCAGCATCCGCTTATCAACACAGTATACGTAACAGAGTCAGGCATGACCATCTTGTCCTTCATCAAACTGTATAAATTCAAAGCCTTTTCATATTCCCCAAAATTCAAATAACTTCCAATAGCTGAGTTGTAGGCAACAGTGTTCAACTGGATGCCACGCATTTGAGCAGCTGATAGAATGGAATCTATTTTCACCTTTTGACCACATCGTCCACATGCAGCAAGTAAAGTACCAATCGTGACAACATTCGGGTGCAAACCATTCTGCTCCATTTCACGCATCACTTGTACAGCTTTAGCAAGAAAACCATTAGAACCATAGGCATCAATGAGTGCATTGTAACTCACTATATTTGGTTTCAAGTTGTTTCTCTTCATCATTTCAAATATTTCTGTTGCCTTCTCAGGTTGTTGTGATCTTCCGTAGGCATTGAGTAAAGATGTGTAGGATACAACATCAGGGCGGATTCCACGACTTTTCATCTCATCCAAAATTAGTAAAGCTTTTCCACTCATCCCATGTGCAGCATAAGCACCTAATAGTGTGTTATATGTGACAATGTTTGGTTCCATGCCTTCTGCAAGCAAAGATTTGAAAACAGCTTCAGAGTTTTCAATCTGTCCACAAGTAGAATACATATGCATGATGCTAGTGAATGTGACAATATCAGGACTGCATTCTGCCTTCTTCATTCGCATTGAATTAAAAATTTCAACAGCTTGATCATATTTTCCGAGCTTTGCTAGGCAATGGATCACAAGATTTAGGGTTGTAGTGTCAGGACGGATGTTGGTTCCTTTCATTAGTTCAAAATAAGACAGTGCTTTGGCATACTGTGCCCCGCTTTTATAGGCAGAAAGCACAATATTATGAGTCACCAGATCAGGCCCACACCCGTTCTCTGTCATTTTCTTGCAAATCTTCAAGGCCTCTCTCCAATTTCCACTGGACCCACATGCATTGATCAAGGTGTTGTATGTTGACCGACTTGGGGGAATCTGTTACAATATCCAAAAAAACATATAGCAGTTGGAAAATGAAAAACAGATAAAAGAAGCTCACATCATAAGCAAATACTCCGTATATAATTACGGAAGGAAAACAAACACACACAGCTGCACGGAGCATGTCTTCCATGATATTTTTTGCCCAACGCCACTGGCCAGCTCGGCCATGTGCATTGATGAGAGCATTGTAAGTTTCAGCATCAGGATGACACCTAAAAGGAACAAGTGGTGGCATATCTATTAGCATCTGTGGTGAAGTCAATAAGTATATACTATGAAACTATATGTCCTCTAACCACTATAATTGGGTGGCATAATACAGAACTGGAATTTAAGGTCTTTAGTTATTATTTTCCAGTACAGAAAACGAAACAATCTTCTGACTGCAATAAATGATACCAAAAACCGTAGTTTCCTTTTGCAATTATTATGAGAGTACCATATGCTTCCTTTATATCCGGGTGCCAATACACAATCCCCTTCTTCCATTGTTGAACAGATACGTTTGCATGGCTTTCGAAAGAAACTAATGCAATATTACTTTTGGAAATCTAAAAATGAGATGAATGAAAGAAATGACCAAAAAGGATTTTATTTACACAATAACACCCAGCACTAAACTACCGAAACCCACCTTAAAGGCTTAAACTCAGTTAAAAAACAGAAATTTCCCTAAATATGAGTACTGTATCCCCCCCAATAGGAGTAATTAGGGATATTCTTGGAGAATCCTGCATATTGTGGCATTAATACTGCCACACTAATGCTTGATGAGTGATCATGCCAAATTATGGTAGTATGAGTTCATGATGACAGTAATTTACTTCTATCTAGGGAACACACTGTTTTAGCTCCTATTTCAGGAATTTTCTCTTATAAAGGCATAGTTATCTCTAGCTTAAAAAAATGATAAAATCAGTTTAATGATTGTATATCTTCGAAAACAAAATCACTTGAAAAATCACTAAACAAAAAACTGATGGTAGTGCATGCTGGAATCTGTCTCATAACTAAATAATACTCCGCCACTACCCTCTTAATGTTCTTGGTTTAACTTCACATAGATCTTAAGAAAGGAAAAATCGTTTGATTAAGATTTATGCAGAAAAGAATTGAACATTATGCACTACATTAAAAAGGAAAAGGATGATTGTTTAGGGGCAGCTCTAAAAGTAGAGTACAAAGATAAAAACGAGAAGGATGTACTAATAATAGAACTGATTTTGACACTCCAAATACTTTGGAGATAACTATATGACTAAGAGCAGAATATGTTTAATAATAAGAAGCTTACCAGCTTACCTCCACTTTTGCATTTCAAAAAACAAACCGCGAGCTTGGTCAATTTGGTTATGCCTTGCATGTAACCTGATCATCATGTTGTAAATGTCATTGCGTGCACAATAGTTTTTTTGGTTCTTCATCCAATTGAAAACATGAAGGCTATGCTCTATTGAACCAAGCTGTGTAATTTCCTATAGCAATTTGAAGTAATAACTCAGAGAGATTTCCATCAAGCTATGTCAAAGCATTTATCACAAGAGAATATTTATAATAACCAAGCAACACCCAATAAGGGAGATGAAGAATTGTTGTTGGCCACTACTTGACCGGCTAGAGATAAAAAAAATAGTCTTTGATGATTTAGTTCACTACAGAGAATATGAAAAATCGAGAAGAATAGTTTTGTGTCATTAACGCTCAAGCAATTACCAGAGGGGTACTGTTATAATGACCTTAAAAGGGGTCTTACAAACATAACTCAGAGAATACCAAATCAGTAAAAAGAAATGCACTTCAACTTATTCTACTTGAGATTTTGATTTTGCCTGAACTGTGAGCAAAGAAATGCACGGTCTCTGTTAGAAAGCTATATTACAAAGTAAGATGTTTAATTAATACCAAGTTATTGTTATTGTTATATCATTATTTTAACAAAGCAACTATAATCCTTTCAAATATTGTGAGGAAACTCAACACAAAATAGTATTGCCCTTCTGTTGGAATTACCCTTATAAGAACTGGGAAATTTTTTCTGGCGAAGCGACCGGCCCACATATTTAAAAGGCCATCAATATCTTCCCAGTGATTGAGCTTCATTATATTGGCAACAACCTCAGAAAGTGGCCAGTCCTTCTGGAACCCGTCCCCGTCGACCCGCAAACGGTTCCGTTTGGGCAAGTCAGATTTCCTGAGGCCGTCGATTTGAACAGAAACCTGGTGGGTCCCTCTGTCGTAGTCCACGACAGCCTGCTTCTTCTCCTTGAATGCATCTTCGTTCTTGGACTTTTTGCTGTAGATGACTGACCCTCTGCGCCCAGTTTGATTTGGTGCGACTTTGGGTTTGCACGGCGGTGATGGTTTTGAGTCGGGTCTGCGAATGCTTAAACTTAAGCTGTCGGGGAAGGTAGCCATGGAGCTAAAGGATAAACCCCCCTCTATCCTGGATGGGGTTTTACGGGTAAAGTTTAAATTGTGGGAGGGTGGAAATGGAAGGAAATCGAATTTATATGTACAGGACTAGTAGGTATTTTCATATTTTAAATTTTAATTTAAATATTCTTATTTTAAATTTTAAGGGATTGTTTATTTTTTCTTTGATTAAGTCCTGAATTAAGATGTCTGTCTAAATTAAGTTTTTTGTCTAGCTTAAATGTCACTACTCACTGGGATAACAAACTGTTTACAAAGTGTACTGAATGAAAAATATCATCAAAAACTTATAAACACCAATGATAGTTAGGGCATTTTAGGAATGATAAAAATGTTGGTATAACACTAATGCAGGATATACTTGTACAATTTGTTTTAGTGGTTGCACCTTCATCATAATAATATGTTTGCTCCTAACTCCGTTAGTTAATTAAGTTCAGAAAACGTTAGAGCTTCCACTTAGCATTTTATCCTTTAGCTTTTTTATTATTATTCTATATGCTTGATTGCTTTTATTTCCATTTAAAGTTTTCATTTATTTTATATTTTTTTTCTAGGTTGCTTATTTGTTACATAGAAGATAAATTTTCATTTTCTCTTTCGGAATGAAATTACTGATACCCAGCAAAATCTCAGCATGGATTGCAAAAATGATTACTTTGAAACTGCCCCTTTGTTATTAAAGCTCTTGTGGCCGCAACAATTTGGTTTTATCTCTTTGTTAGGCCTGAGGTAAACTGGGATCAATCTCACTCTATTGAAAATTGAACCTGGGACCTCCCATAAGGGAGAGTGAGTCGACTACCAGCTGGGTTGGACCGCTTCCTCCAAAATTGTCTTTTGAGAGTCATAGTATTCTTATTGCTTATTGTTTATTCTCATTTCGTTCAGATCAGATATTATTCTTAAATCAGATCAAATCAGAAAAATCATATATTGTTAGATCATAAAATTCGAATCAGATCACATCAAATAGATTTAGATCATAAAGATATAGATCAAATCAAATCAGATGAAAAAAGTTCAAACATGATTTGTTACTTTTATTGTTATTATTATTAGTTTATTATTATCAATATTATTACTATTATTTCTTATGAGTTTTATCTACTTTTAGTCCTCCGACTATTATGTCGTTGATACTTTTAGTACCCGACTTTGATTTTTTCCATTTTTAGTCCTTGAATATTGCGCTAGAGACACTTTTAGTACCCGTCTTTGAAATTTTCCATATTTAGTCCTTTAACTTTCATAAAAGTGACACTTTTGGTCCTTCAACTATTATAATAGTGACATTTTTAGTCCTTCACTTATGGTGTCAAAATCATAATGGGAGGACTAAAAGTGTCAGTTTGACAATACTCAGAGACTAAATGTGGGAAATCTTGAAGTTGGGGACTAAAAGTGTCTCTAGCACAATAGTCAAGGACTAAAAAGGGAAAAATGAGAAGTCAAGTACCAAAAGTGTCATTGACGTAATAGTCGTGGGACCAAAAATGACAAAAACTCTATTTCTTATTGTTGTTGTTATTTTATATTATCATAAATGTACAAGCATAAGTTCATATTATTAATACTTGAAAAAATAATAACATTATTAAACTGTATTACTAAGATAAAAACTCAATTTTATGTAAATTTATATTTTCTCCTAATAAAAAAAATCAATTTTATGTAAATTTTTATCTTCTCATATTTAAGTCCATTCGACAATTAAAAGCATAAGTTCTTGTTATTAATATTTGAAATTATATTCTTATATTCTCATAGCGTGTTTGGGAACGATCCTTAACTTGCTCCGGTTATGGGAAAAAAGAAGTCTCACGTTTTTTAATCATTTGTTATGGCAAAAAATATACATAAAGTTTATGTGAAATTTCAAACAACTTAAATATATTCATCATTAACATTCCATTATGTTAACCTTGTCAGAATAACTTTGGGCATCATCCCTTCGCGCATCGCGCGTCGTACCACTAGTAAATAATATAATGACCAAATAATCCTCGTGTATGTTGTTTTTGACTTTCCTTGTTCTGAAAGATAATTGGCATCGAATTTCTGAAGATAGAAATAACAATTAATTACGGATTATTAAATACTCCTTAAGTTGTAAAAATGTAAAATCGAAGATCTATATTTTTAAACAAAAAAAACTTGGGAGTTTATCTATGATTTCTTCCATTCCAATACAATTGAAGACGGGTGTTTTGTCTATGGTTTAACTTGAATGCGACCAGTGTAATGTAAAATTGGTAAGCAGTTGGATTGTTTGGGAGATCCCTCTTGGTTCATAAACGACGGACAAATATATAGCACATATCATGTTTTTAGCAGAGCATGTATAAAATGTTAAAAATAAATAATTGCAAAAGTAATCTAGAGAAATATCCAATAGTGAAGGTGTAGATCTCCAAGTTACAAATATGTTTGTTAGGAAGATGAACGGCCTTGGCAGCTGACACCTTGCTCTGTTTTATTCATCCATGGAGAACTCGTTTTGCAGATGTGGAGAAAAGAAACTATCAGCTAGCGAATAACTCGACATTTGACTGAGCGAATAAGTTCTAAGTAAACACAGTTAATAAGAGAAATTGCTCCCAATAGGAGTAAAACATACCACATTTCCCTAAATAGGAGTTAACTTCTAAAATTCTCTAAATAGGAGTAAACATTAATCTTTACCCCTAATTACCCATATTGTAATTAATTATTGCCCCCCTAGTTCCCGTGGGCAACAAGGGCAGTCCGTCGGTGGCGGGGCAGGGTGTTGGTAGCGGCAGCAGTCCGGTGGTGGCGGTGGCAGGCGCCGGCGCTGGCAGTGGAGCTCCGGCGACCGGTGGAAACCTTTATTCTAATTAATCATTGCCCCCCCTAGTTCCCTTGGGCAACCAAGGCAATCCGTTGGTAGCGGGGCAGTCCGGCGGTGGCGGCAGAAGATTCCGGCGGCGGATTAAGTCATCTATATTATTCGAAGATGACTTGAGATGACTTATTCGCTAAGTCAAATGTCGACTATATTCGAAGATGACTTGAGCGAATAATAGTTGGGATTATTGTTAGCGGACCGACAATAGTTGCGATTATTATTTTCAATTTTTCCTAATTTCAATTATTTTCATAATTTAACTTTTGATGTTTTTCGAATTCGAATAAGATTTGCAAAGGATTCGAATATATTTGAATATACCAAACGAAAATAATAACTTAAATTTGAATATTAAACGAATACGAATACGAATATTCGATAATTATACGAATATGAATGATATTGTCAAGTATTCGATTTGATTCAATTCGATTCATTTACAACCCTACTTCCAACTTAACAGCTTACCAATGACCAACCTAGCCCTTAGAGCATCTCCAAATCTCCAATGATATAGTGTGCACAATGCACATGTAACATGAGAAAGATTGATAAGCACAATAATTACTTATGTTTTACATAAGTAATTATATTTATCTGTACAAAAATGTGAAGCAAAAATAGGTAAATATTCCCGAGTGAGCGGAAACATGAAATACGGCTTGGAGCAACAAAAATAGGGTCAAAAGTCAAAAGGGGTCGAAAACCGGCACTTCCGGGTAAATTTCGGGCAGAAAAAGAGAAAGAGAAACGGAGTACATATTTTGGCGCAGGAACCGGCGCAGGTCTTCACATTTCCGGCGCCGGTCGTATGGCATTTTTTCCCATTTTTCCGTCTGTTTCCAACCGGTGCATTTTTGCACCCAACCGGCGCCGGACATGCTATAACTGGCGCCGGTTGTTCCGATTTTCTGCTAAAACAGTCCGACGTGCAGAAGATTTCTGATGGGAAAAACCCATCTTCCTCCATATCTGATCAAATATTGCTTCCATACCCGATTGTTAGGCTTGAATAGACTAAAAGATGTCTTTCTTTAGCCTATATAAAGCCCTTAATTCATCAAGCAATAACATCCCATTCCATACTTTAATTCCTAGTTTCCATACTTTATTTTTGCTATTGTTCTTCAAGTTCTTGAGGAGGAAACTTCAACCTCCGAAACCATTGGTGTTTAGGTATTATTTCCTTTGTAATTTCATGTTCCATTACATTTCAATATTGTATTGTGATTAATATGAGCATTAGAGGCTAATTCCTTAGCTAAGGCTAGAGATGAACTTCTATGCCCACTAGGTGTTTGATAAAAGTTCTAAACCAATAAATTGTGATTTATCCTTTACATTTTGATTGTTATGACTATGGTGTACAACATAGATGTATGTTAAATTTAGTTTATACTTGCAATTAACGTTGAAGTCTAAACTATGAACATTAAAGGATAAACATATATATTACCGAGAATAGAAATATATCCGGTATTATATGATACGGGTGTGATGTCTTGATATTCAACGGGGTTTTCGGTAGATGAATGTAAGCCGTAACGGGACTTACACGTAACGAAAACCACGCTCCCCGCTGCCTTAACCGGAGTTGAGAATAAATTAGCGACATCGTATTCATAATTATTGGTAAAGAACTAATATTCAACCCTATTAAAGCATTTAAGTGATTCCCGAAGCCTTAGCCGTTGTTATCATTCATTTTAAATCCGAATTAATTGAAGTTGTTTCCTTGAATTAAAAGTGAAAAGCCAAAAATACAAAACACAAATCACAATTCCTGCACTTTACTCATTTATTTATTTAAAAGTCATCTACTCTCGGACTAAATTAAACAACGTTTCCCTGTGGATTCGACCCGGTATTTTACCGGAATTTATTACTATATCGGCACTTGTACACTTGCAAGTTTAGCCCGGTCAAAGATAAACATAAAAAATAAAGTTTATGACATTTCTCTCTTTTCCTTTCCCCGATCTTATGTGTTTTGGTAAGTTTTTCTTAATAATGCCAACCACAATGTCTACATCTAGACATTGTGGAGGAAAACTTACCAAACCCATTATAATAATGAGAGAGAGATTTTGTTTGTTGGTTTTAGTTGATTATCCCTCATATACATCGTTCACATTTTTGCATTGAATAAGCTTTTGTATTTGTATAATGTACTATCCTTCGTATCATAATA